TGTAGGTAATCCTTGAACCCTATTCCTTCCTTCAACATTCCGTACACGTCTAGAGCCTCCTTATCCTTCGATTATTTCCTCAGATTCTGTTCTTCTCTCTCGGCACAAGCAACAGATATCTTCTCCTTGAACCCCTGTAGACCCTCCGTTTCCAGCGTTTCATCTTCGTCGATGTCGAGCCCCTTCCATACGTCCTCTACAACCTTGACCCATTCCGTGGGTTGTCTACCCCTCTTTTTGTTTGCCCACTTCGCCTCCCATACAATCCTCGGCAACCTCTCCTCTCCCATCCCGCACATGCGATACTGCCAGGTCAGCTTCCTCGCGTCTCTTCCCGACCGTAGGGATTGGATCCCCAATTCTGCCCTCAAGGCTGCATTGCTTGTGCGCTTGGAGCATCCAAGGATGATTTTCGCTGCTTTCATCTGCGCCGCCTCGAGTTCTTTCACTACCTTCTTATTTCCTTCCCATACTTCTCCGGCGTACTCTAGCGGCGGTACGATTACGCTCTTCAAAACCGTCAATTTGATGCGTGTATCGAGGGCCGGTTTGCGAGTGCTGGGTGCAGCTTCCCTGCTCGTGCTTTACCCTTTTCCGCTACCTTGGACATGTGTGCATTCCACGAGCAGTCTTTTGCGATCTCTACTCCGAGGTATGTGTACTGGTCCACTACTGCAATCTCCTCGATCCCCCACTTCCATCTATGTTCTACTGGTTCCTCCTTGTTCTCGTTGCATACCATGACGGCACTCTTCTGAACGTTGGCAGACAATCTCCACTTATCAGTAAACTTCTTCGCCGCGTCAATTTGCAGTTGCAGTCCCTCAGGGGTGTCCGACATACCGACAAAATCATCCGCAAACAGCATTCCTGAAACCGACGTTTCCGTGTCCCCTACTTTTACTCCCTTCCGGACTGCCTCTACGACTTCCAACAGATCGTTGATGAACACCTGGAACAATGTTGGGGACAGCGTGCAACCTTGTGGGACCCCCTGCTCAATGTCGAAGAATTTTGACAGTTCTCCGTCTAGCATGACCGCGCTTTTCGTACACTCTGTCATCTTCTTCAGCACTCTCCACATTTTCCCCTTGATCCCGTATTTGGACAGTTGTTTCCACAACCCATTTCTCCATACGGTGTCGTATGCCTTTTTCACGTCCAGGAAGAAGCAGTACGTCGGCTTTCCCGCCCTCTTTCTACCTTGGATGATTCTCCCTACCGTGAACACGTGGTCTACGCACCCCCTCTTCTTGCGGAAACCTGCCTGGCCCTCACTAATGCTATGTTCCTTCTCCAATACTCCCACTATCCTATCGTTCAGCAGCTTACAGAACACTTTTCCTACTGTGTTCAACAGTGTGATCCCCCTGTAGTTTCCTGGGTCAGTCTTGTCTCCTTTCTTAAACAAGTTCACAACCACGCCTTCCCTCCATCTACTTGGCGTATACTCGTTTTTCCACACCCAATTGTACAGCAGTACCATCAGCTGGATCATCCCCTTCCCCCCAAACTTCATGAACTCGTTGACTATCCCATCCGCTCCTGCTGCTTTGTGGCACTTCAGCTTGTTCACACACGCCTCAACCTCGTCCTCAGTGAACTCCTTTTCTAGTTCTACGTTCCCAACGTCTGCCTTCGATGTCTCTTCTCCTTTCTGGGCCCATGCATCCACCTCCTTCTTAAACACTTGGTCAAAAGCTTCATCCTCCGAGAGCACTCCGAGTCTCTCGTAGTGTCCTGCTAGAACTTCCCTTTTTCCCTTCCCACTGCTGACTAATCCACCGTTCACACCTCGCAAAGTTGCGACCCCTGTATCCCCCCCTTGCGCGGTCTTTTTTACCATTCCACTAATCCCTTCCCACATCTGCTTGACGTTCCCCTCCAGGCCTCCGTTGGCCTTCTGCACTTCTTCGTCCCAAATACACTTTTTCTTCTTTTTCATTAGCCCTTGCACCTGTTTTCTCTTGGCCCTGTACTTTTCCCAACTCTCCTCAGACGCCTCACTCAGGTACTGCTTGAAGACTTCTCTACGTTCCCCTATTTCTTCTTTCAGCTCGTCATCCCACCACTTAACCGATACCCCACATCGTACCACCTTCCTTCCCACTACTCTCTCTGCCGTTGCGTTCACGATGGACTCCCACCCTTCAATCACCCTGTCCCCTGCTGTCTGTACGTCTACCTGTCCGTCTTCGACGCTTCTCAGCAGTTTCCTGAAGGATTCTACACTACCAGCCAGCCCCTTCTGGAATTCATCCCGTGTCCCATCGTCTCCCAAACGCTCTACCTTCCATCGGAACACTTTCCTCTGTTTCTTACTCTCCATCTTTCTAGATCGGTCGATGTTTGCCCATATGAGGAAATGGTCGGTCAAACCTATATCT